TGGCTCGAAACAGGATAGTCGCCTCTGGAGTGGGAACTGTTGGCAGATAATCTGCAATGATCTCTGGCACACAAGCTGGGGGCAACCAGCAAGCACTCATGCGCATACGACCGCCCGCGCGCGTGCATGCGTGTGCCCTCAGTCCTCTCGGCACATGCCTGTCCAGGTCGTTAGACCCGGTCAGTTGAGCTCCGCATCAGTACAGCGTGGATCAGTAAGAGGACATTTTTGCTGCCGAACACACATATTCAGCCACATATGAGTGCCTTGCTTGGACAGAAATAGGCATGCAGTGGTAGTGTAGGCGCGAAATTCAATGAACTGAGGATAAGAGAAAAAATTATTTCAGGTTTAATTGGCAATAAGTGGAAGGCCTCCCTACCTGTCACCCGAACGTTGTTGCCAAAGGGATAAAAAGCGACATAAAGCGAAGTCAGTGTCTGGCTAGTTTTTGCAAAAAAGATGAATGCGGTTAATTCCTACGGCACATGATGTGGTGAGTCATGCGCCAGGTCTCATCTCCGAAGGTCAGCCGCTCGATCTTCGACGAAAAGCTAGTGGGCTCCGCTGTTAGCGCGGCGTAAGCACGCTGTTGTCTTTTCGAAGGCAGGACACCTAGGGCACAAATTATTCAAGTCTCAGTAGTAGCGTCTCTATACTAACTATTGACCCCCAATAAATCTTTAAACAAATTCTCCTCTAGCCAAAACACTGCATAGCATCCGACGCAGCTTAATAAGGAATGGAAAAGGACAATGTTATTGTAAAATGATAATCTGAAGTTTAGTTTACAATGCTTAAAACGCTGCTATTTGTTTTGTTTAATAAAATAAGATCTTTCTAGACCAAGATTCGAGACGCGGTGCAAAATGTCTGCAGTAATTTGACTTAATTATAGTATATAGCCTGCCTCAACCGTTCCATGGTATTGATTCTGTTGTTGTAAACCCCGTGTTTCCAGTAACCACGGAGGAATAACTGAATGGGGGGATAAGATCAAGAGACATAGATGCCCACCCAACGGCCTTCCCTCCTTCCGTTAAATGTCTCTTCGAAATGACAGTGCAGAAGATCACCAGCATGTGGAGTGACCGCGTCCTGTAGAAAGCACACATGCCTATATACCCCGGGACGGATGCAGGAGTAATTGGCTTTTGTAACATTTAAGCATAGGACTGCTTTAATGTGAGGAAATAAAACAGTGGCGCTTCTTGTCCACTTCTCTTAGTCAGAACATAACTTCATCAGCGAAAAGAACCCCTGGATTTCCCCAACTAGCGAAAAAAACACGACAATATTCCCTTTCTCGGGTTTGTACCATTGAACAGAAACTGGTGTACTTGGGCAGCGTCGCAAAGCCAAAATGGATATTTCTTTACCATTCCATGGACGGTAGTCTGGCAGCTGCCACAGTCTTTGCTAAACCTCCAAACACACTTTTTGGTTGGCGCGTATTTGCTTGTTTAGCATTGTGAGCATTTATGTCCTCAGTTCAGCTGCATAGCCTACCACTGCAGGGCACACGATGGACGCGGTCGCCTTAGGAGGTCAAACTCCGACCCCTCTAGCCCTCCCCGGCAAATTATAAACAGTGCCCGTTTTTAAAATTTTTTGGCCGACCTCCATGCCGCATTTCGAGTGCCTGCCGTAGACCCACGCTAAGTGAACACCTTCTGTTGTCAAATAAAAATATGTCGGTAAGATGTGGTTATGTAGCCCCACCTGATTGACACAATACCGTTGGGATTGGGGTAAGGGGTTAGGAACAGGACTCATGGTTAGGGGTTAGGATAAGGGTTGGAGGTTAATGCAACTATTTCTCACCCATTCAAAGTACAACCGCGCATTCCCAATAGCTTTTCTTTTGCATAAACTACTTGACCTTATCGCCTGTGTGTTCTCCAGTCCCATCTGTAAAAAAACCCTATTACCACCTATCCCGTATTGCAGGTGTCTGGTGGTTTTTTTTACTTCAGGTGGGGCTACATAACCACATCTGACCAATATGTCGTTATAATGTCCAGACGGCTGGCCTTCACCCGTTCCCAAAAGTTGCCGAAAAAATCATTGAAGTCTAGTCTTTGTCCTTTTATTATCTTGTCTATTTTCTCTATTCTCTCTCCCTAATCGAAATCCGCACACTCCTTCGTTTTTACAGCAGCAGTGCTGCTGGTTGCCTTGTCAACGCGGCCCACCTCACCTGAGCAGAAATAATGTGCCGTGAATGTGAGATTATGGAAAATCTCTCTCGCAGCACCCATCTCACTCTCTCGTTTCCCACTGTCAACGAACTCCATAGGCGGTAATGAGTCAATAAGGGCGCAAAGTGGACTGGATCATAGTGGATGACTATGCTAGTTTCCCACGCCCAAGCAAATCACACATTCGGGTGCTCAGACTCGGAAAAGACTCTGTACTATCTCCTCTGATCTTCAAGTTCACGTGTTCCAGTAATAAGGGTGATTTATTTAAATTTGACTCCAGTTCGGACCCCGTGACAGGCAGGACACCCGCAAAACACGCACGTCACACAACGCTGTTGGTTTTGTCACACAAACGAACCAGGTTTTCGCAATGTAGTGGGCACACTTAATGTGGACAAATTACTTCTGTTCAAAGCGAAGAGGCGAGGACCGGAAAACGGCTCAGACGAATGAGATGCAATAACTGGAACAAGACTTTTATTCGACTGACGTTTCGAAATCCCACTTTAATCCATCATCAGGGACAGTCGCAGATTAGGGTGGGAGACGCACAGGGCATGCAGTCGCCGTGCCATCACACGTCCGCCACAATTAGTAATCACCGCTTTCACCGCCGGTGGTTGTAATTGGTACAGCGATTGCTCACTCGTTCACATCTGAGCTGCTAATTGCCGTAATTTCATCATCGTTGAGGATTCTTGGCCTGATCATCACTTGGTGATTTGGCTTGTTGATACTGTCACTAGAGGTGACCTTCGCCTGCGCCCTCCCGTGACCACTTAGTGTGTTCAGGCAAAGGGTCAACCCTGAATATGGACGTGGAGGTCGCTGCCTTCCTGCTTCGGCGAGCAGTAATGCAAACTTTGTGAGGAAAAGTTAGTTTACAGTCATTTTTGGATGACAAGTCTTGGTTAAGATTGTCTGCGAAGAAGCATAAAATCTTTCTAAGCACAAACCAACTATATCTAATCTCGTTGTAGCGACCTCAAACAAATGTATGTACCTTTGACGGGCTTATAAAAGTACAACGCTTCTGAATTCGAATCTGTGCGGATTACTACTGACTTAAAGTTCACCCATCAATTCTAGATAGAATTATTTAATGCGAGGTCATCGTAATCCTGAAATAGTGCTCAGTACACGGTTTCGCCTAACAAGAACATTTGAACAATGCAGAATAATGCATGACGGTCAACGATGCGCCTCAACGACAAAGAGGGGACTAACTGATTACTTTTAGATTTTCGCCTGTCCATACCTGATCGTGTTTTAGTGTTGTGGATAAGGATTAACAAAGTTAACGTGACCTGAGCCTTAAACAAGTACTAAAACCGAGTTGAAGGTTCTTTGTATTATCTCCTAAATGGCACTGTAAGGGAGACATAAGAGCCAAGTACATGGAAGGTAATTCCTGCAGCAGTGCAGAACTTTAATGAAGTTATGTGGGAATCTAGAATCGCCAACTTTCCCTGCAAATGTATTATGCGAGATATCAAGGAACTTAAGAGGACTGATAATTCATATAGCAAATTAAGTTTCGCTTTAAAAGAAAACGCGGTCTATACTATTTTGTGACAATCTGAAAATGGATTAAGGACAAACTTTCAAGGTATATCATGTGAGTATTCTGGACTGTGAGAAAAGCGGGAATACAACCACATAGTCAAAAGCCAGCCTTGAAAATAACAAAGTTGAACAGCACCTGGTAAGCGACTAGCGGATTGATACATATGCCCACTTTCTGAGCCATCAAGTGAATCGCAATCTCGGAGCAGTAGGCTCGAAATCCGGTCATATGATTGACACAAAGTACTCCGCCTGCCTCTCCGGGGAGGCAAATTTGTCAACATGGTCAGGCTTTACGCTCCCCGATGACCAGCCCTGACACCGCAAGGAACAACTTCTACGAAGATCTGCATGCCATCCTGGCGAATGTGCCGAAGGCGGACAAGCTGATTGCCCTTGGTGACTTCAACGCCCGCGTCGGCACAGACCATGCTGTCTGGAGAGGGGTGCTGGATTCCCATGGTCTCTACAGCTCCAATGGCAATGGCCTACTCCTCCTAAGAACCTACGCAGAACACCGCCTCATTCTGACCAACACCTTCCGCCATCCGACGCAAGAGAAAGCCACCTAGACGCATCCTTGGTCGCGAAACTGGCACCTGCTGGACTATGTCCTCGTCCGCAGGCGAGACCAGCAGGACGTGCTGGTGACAAAAGCGATCCCGGGTGCCGATGGGTAGACTGACCAGAACCTCGTCATCTCCACGATGCGGATTCGCCTACAGCCTCGCAGGACACCTCAATGTAAGCGACCCCCAGGTAAGTTGAATATTACCTTGTTGTCCTTGTCTGCTCACCGTCTTCATTTCAGCAATGAGCTAGCTCGATGGTTAGCCAACCTTCCAGTCGCCGCTGCCGACGAGGCCCCCTACGAGAACGCCTCCGTGGAGAACCGATTGTATCAACTACATGGCACAGTCCAGTCGGCCGCTCTAACTGTCCTCGGTCGCGTAAGTCGCCAGCATCAGGACTGGTGCGACGAAAATGACGCCGTCATCAAAAAATTACTCGCCGAGAAGAACCGACTGCATAAAGCCTACGTAGACCGCCCCACGGACGACAACAAAACAGCCTTTTACAGTAGCCGCCGCGTTGTGCAACAGCAACTGCGTGAGATGCAGGACGCTTGGGTGGCTCGGAAGGCCAAGGAGATCCAAGTATACGCGGACCGCAACGAATAGCAGAACGTCTTCGCCGCGATCAAGACTGTCTACGGTCCCTCAGCCAGAGGCACAGATCCTCTTTTCAGCGCCGACGGAAACACTCTACCCATCATGAAGATACCAATTCCACAGTGATGGGCCGATCACTTCCGAGGCGTCGTCAACCACCCCTCCACCATCTCTGACGCCGCCATCGCCCGTCTGCTCCAAATGGAGACCAACGCCGATATTGACCTTGCGCCTTCTCCACAGGAAACCATCAAGGCCGTATAACAGCTCTACAGCGGGAAAGCGCCCAGATCGAACGCAATCCCTGCTGAGATCTACAGACATGGCGGCCCCCAACTCATGGATCATCTGACGGCGCTCTTCCAGGAGAGCTGGCATCAAGGAGAAGTCCTCTAGGATTTCAAGGACGCCACAATCGTCCAACTCCACAAGCGGAAAGGGAACCGCCAAACCTGCAATAACCACGGAAGCATCGGCCTGCTGAAAATCGCCGGGAAAATCTTCGCTCACATTCTTCTCAGTCGTCTGAACAAACATCTGGAACACGGTCTCCTGCCGGAAAGCCACTGCGGCTACCGCCCTCATCGTGGGACCACGGACATTATTTTCTCTGTCCGAAAACTGCAGGAGAAGTGTCGGGAGATGCTGGTTCGCCTCTACTCTACATTCGTTGGTCTGAAATAAGCTTTTGATACGGTAAATCGTGAGGGACTGTGGAAAATCATGAAGCAGATCGGCTGTCTCGAGCGATTCAATCAGATGATGTGTGAGCTCCATGATGGCATGACGGAGTGCGTCACGGTCAATGGGGTCGTACCAGAGGCACTAGCAGTGACCAACGCGCTTACCCTCTTCAGCCTCATGTTCTCTGCCATGCTGATGGACGCCTACCGTGACGAACGCCCCGGGATCCGCGTGGCCTATAGGATGGACGGCCACATCCTCAACTACAGGCGGATGCACTTCCAATCGCGTGTATCCCCAACCACCGTCCACGAACTGCTCTTCGCCGCCTGCGAGACGGCGGTTATGCATTGGCCGCCACCGACGCTGCCTACACTGCAATTCACATCAACGTGAATGGCGCCCAACTGCAAGCCGTGGACAACTTTACCTAACTGGGCATCACCCTCTCTCGCTCCACCAAAATCGACGATGAAGTGATCCGCTGGATTTCTAAGGCCAGACAAGTCCTTGGCCGTCCACAAAACACAGTTTATAATCGACACGGTCTCCACATTCGTAGTTGCGCCATGCTGAGACAACTGCAACTGCGTTGGAGCTATATATATCAACCACCACGTCCATTCCCCGCACATGTTAAATGCCCTGTTCGGACAGTGTCTGGGGCCTGGAAATGGGAAGGGAAAGTGAGGTCGACGACTCAACGCATTTTCCTCACCATAAACAATCTGACGCGCTTGAAGCTATCAGGGTGCGCTGGAAGCCGTGGCTTGGAAGGTTGCCAACTTACGGGGTAACTAGGACCTCGCAGTTGGCTCAATGTTATGTTTTTGCGCGGAGCGGCCGATTAGTGGTTTAAGAGTCTGGCCGCAATGGCTACTTCTCATTGTGGCTTTCAGGGCACTTTCACTCCATGCGGTCCGAGCCAGGTGTCACAGCACGCCTTGGTGCGACCTCGGCTGCACCAGACTCTTTGGTTGCTGGTTAAAATCCTCGTCATTTGGTGCGTGGACCAGGGGGTGTGGAGTGCAGAGTCAAGGTGCGGGCTCGAGCGGGCCATCCACCTGTGTCCTTCCCCGCCTCCGGTCATACTGACTCTGCTTGGACACCGGGTCCAGGTGGGGGAGGAGAGAGTGTGGTAGGTGCTGCGCTAGTCTGATGTCGCTATGAAAGAAATCACGTGTAGGTCACCGTGCCTGCTCTCACCCTACAACAGAGCACACGGTGGACATCGTCGGATGCGATGGTCGAATTTTGAGGTTTGTCTGCGAGGAGGAGTGTGCGGCCACGAACAATTGTTTGCCTTTCCAATTCCCAGCTAGCTTGTTTTAGTGCAGTCTCCTTTGATCTTGTTTTCTGATTTCGCCACAAAACCTGGCTTGGCCACTGTTTTATTCGGTTCAATATATGGCTCCAGATTTTTAATCAGTCGGCATTGGATACTTAGGAATTATGAGCTGCTGGTCGATTGTCGCTTCCAGCCTGTAAGAAACTCCAGTCCCAAGTTCCCCCACCATTTTTACGAATTTTTGGAACGCACCCGTAACATGAACACGGCGGTTCAGAACTCAAATCCTAATCTCACCCTGGGGTTTCTTCCACTGGGTCTTCACTCAACCACTTCACAAATCTGTCGTGGTGCCCGTTAGCTGCGAAGGATTACCGACGAAGCTGAACTTCGAGAATTTTGTAGTTTGGCTCGTTGCGGTTCTTTTCTACGCGGCGGTAAATGCCATTACTCAACTATGTTTGTGAAAAATAAAGTGTTTCCTACGAATATTTAGAATACAAAAGGCATATGGTGTCTATAGCTGTAGGCTGCTTTTTAGTGTATTACATCGATTTTATGCAGACTTGTACATAAAAACGACAAATAACAGTACGTATTTCCTCCTCTATCAGGAATAGGATGAGTTCAGATTTTGAGTGAATACCCAGTCAACATCTCTCTATAAAATCCCCTCGCAAGCTCTTGCTTACTGACAAGCAATAAGTGCCGAAAAAGAACAGGGAAGCCGGAACGGTCATTTATCGCATATAACCCCCACCATTCAGTCATATCTCAAAACCAGGAATGGATAATCTGAGGATAGAGACCGCCGTCCACTATATGAACCTTATCAAAAGAGAGGATTCCAATTATTTGTGAGCGGCCAACCTTCCAATTCACTAATTGTAGGATGTCGTGATAGTTTAATGCATTTTGATTGCATTTGCAGAGATGAGGTAGTGCTCGGGAACCGACTTCGCTCCTTGTCCCCACTCTCATACCAAAGACAAGGCCGAGTACAGCCGCCTGGTATTAGGAGTGGGTGCGGTTGTTGAGGTGGCGTTAAAGCATCGATATACCTGCATCACATACTTGTGATGGCCTTTGACCCCACATGGACCAGACTTCGCCAATGTACAGATATCAAATACGGGGGAGGCACACTCGCTCAAATGCGAAGTTCTGTCCGTCATTACGACTTTGGGAAACTGGGTTTCGTAATTGCCACATGAGTTGCGCAGGATGTGGTTGTGATCGTCGACGTCTGTACGCTTGCGACGGAATAAGCCCATAAACTGCGTGTGAGTGCGTGTGAAGGATTTGGTATTTTAAGGTACCTGGAGTAAATTGTTGGGATGATTTTTTTCATCATCAAATGGGTCAATACAATATCTATATTTGCAGGGGCAGTGTGGTCAGGTAAGATGGACACCAAGACTGCCCCCGACGAATGCTGAGGACCAAGTTAACCGTCCAGGCTTGTGTATCCTGAGTTAAACCCCCGTACTCCGGTGGTCTCACCCCAAAAAAATGTTTACTTGAATAAATGCGCAGTGCAACCGACCTGAACTGTGCCTATCTCGCCTCAACAACCATAGGTGTGTTGACCAATTGTTATGTTCTGCCGCGGTTGCTGAACGGTCGTGACTTCGAGAAACGGCTCCGAGGCTCAGTGGCCGTAAAACGAAGTCATAGTGTCAAAATGAACTTTTTTGGATATCGAAGACAAAAACGTCCCAACACTGGCACCATAGAGACAGGTCCCACACTGGCAGTCAGGCGTATCTCAGTTTAATCAGGGATAAGCGCATACCGATCTATTGACTTCCTAGAACTAAATAACTCCGTGTGGGTTGAAAAGGTCACAGACAGGCAGCCAACTACCAGGTCGAAGTCGGCCAAGTCATAATATCAGCGAGGAGGGGCGACAGAGAATGAGAATAGATTGACGCAGTACTGCTTCGGGCTTGTTCTGCCTTCATCCAGCCAATCATAATCTCCTGCTACTGTAACATGGCCGACTTCGGTATGGTGATTGCCCGTTTGTGATCTTGGCCATCCATACGGAGTTTGTTTGCTTCGTGAAGCCAATAGATCGGTGGGAGCCCATTCCTGATTGAATAAATATCCGATCGGCAGCGACAGAAAATAACGTGTGGCGAGGCACTGATGAACTTCGGTTCGACGGAGTGCTTATGAGCCATCTGCTAGACTCCGCGTGTGGACCATTCGCGTCGTGTACGCGCGTATCCTTGTGCTTCCTGCCGCAGCCGGTGGTACCTGGTGGTCGGGGTTACGATAGACCATATGAAATCAGAATAAGCCCGAAACAGTACTGTATCAATCTACCCGCATTCTCTGTCGTCCCTCCTTTCTGATATCTAGGCTCATTCGCACAGTCGCTTAGAAGACATGGATCAAGGGCGACTGTGAACTCCGGACCCACATGCTATTTTCTCAAGTTTTTTATGAGGTTCGGATGGCGTGTTTCGTCTGGTTAGTATTCCTTCCTCGGTTGTCTTCTCAGCTTCAAATTTTCTGAAGCGCACCTGAAAGTTCTGGTCATTCTCATTGAGAAGCTGAAGAGTGAGCTCCGTAGAAAAGTACTAGCATAAACATGCCAAGTAAGAAACTGTTAGTTACATTTTTTCTTGATCTGTAGATAAAAGAACTGTCGAAAGAAACAGACAGACGAGATTTGGTTGTCATCGAGTATAAGGGAGGCGATAGCCTCAGCTTTGGGTTGTTGATAGCACGGCGGCTTCCGACGGAAATAAATCCAGTGGTTTGGCAACGGGCAGCTCTATTCAGAAGGCATGCGCAAAATCCAAACAGCTCAGGCACTGCTTATAAAACCACCAGCCGATTCAGCATTATATTTTTTTCGCGTCCTCGGGAGCCATTAATAAGCAGTTGACTCATCTGTAATCGCTCACCCACAAAGGTGCATTGGAAACTGCGGCAGGCCTACTGGAAATGATTCCCTTAATGATAAACAGAAAATTTTCAAGAAAACCTTCTCCCAAACGAACAATAATGCCACGCAAATACAATATGACAGAGATAGTTTCTTGGCAATTTTGCTCCGAACACAACGTTTCAGGATTTCGTGCAAAGGGTCGAGATTTCCCAACATCCCATTAAAATTACTCGAGTTACCTAAGCAGTACGGAATACAGACGGTTCCGGTTTGACCTGGAGCACGTGCAGGCGACCGAACAGCGACGAAAAGTGTCAAGATAGCTCACGTTGAAGCTTGGGGTCTTTCCGGTCCGGCGTTGACTGACTGAAGAGGATGACAAATAAGCCATACTTGCTTCTACAGTTTGTCTTGTCTTTGTCGATGATGCCTCTCGACCAGTGAAACATTTCCAAACTCACCTTCGTTTGCGACGCCCTCAACTCAGCCTTGGGTCAGTCATGTTTGAGTGTGGATGTGTAGAGCCTTCTACACTGGTGGGGGGATTTTCCGGTTATTATTTCGGGTAGCCTCTAAATATCAGATCTCCTGCAGCTCACACAACACTTGACTGTACCGTGGATAAACATGTAACTGCCGGACGCGTCAAAGGTATGTTGAATGTTAACTACATGTTTAGGGATTCGAGATAATTAGTCACTGCGCTCCTGCACGGTAAATACTGCATTCAGTGCGGTAGACGACGGAGGACAATTCTTCTGATCGACTTGGTGTGTGCTCTGCATGCTTAGTGGCGGATTATGGCATCACGAAGATGGGGAACGCCCAGCTGCGATGTGTTTCTGCCGTCAGGCAACGGTAGTCGTAATAACTGTGGCTTAGATCTCAACCCATCAAATAATGGCTTTATTTATATTACCCACTTGAAGATTTTTCAGCATGAAATACAAAATACAAATATCAAACTTTGGACCGTGCCTGAAAAGGCCCGTTTCGAAAGATTTACTCCACGTTCGCGCATTTATTTCCTCGGAGATTTAAACAAGGCAATACAAAATTAATGCTCATCCAAGCTTGTTGAACTTCCTCCTCGACCTCGCCATGCTCCCTCTTGTCAAATGTCGAGTAACCTTTATGAACTACAAATCATGCCTTCGGTCGGGCGCGAAGTAGGGTTGTGCGCTAGCCACCCCAGTGTTTCGATCC